ATTTACTATTCGGACAAATACGACGACGAGGAGTTTGAGTATCGGTTAGTGCTGGCGTGGGGGCAACAGCGAGGTCGTAAGCTTTGACCATTGAGATTACAAGGAATTAGTAACTGGAACCGTGGCGATAGAATTGGCGCATGCGTACGAAATGCGAACAGGCTAGGGTGTGATTGGTGGAAGGCGTGAGGCGCATGCGCGGAGGTGGGAGGAACGCGTAAAATAAAGTGGTTGCGGATTTGGAGTCGGCCCTCAGTTGAAAGGAGGGAGGGGTGGGCGTGGTTAAAGTACTGACCACCCTCACCCAGGAGGGTTTCTGGATCTTTCTCTGAACTTTATTGGGCAAATTTAACTTGCCTTGTGGAGACTGTTTGTTTAACAATAATCCTGTGGAATCTAGTAGGAGAACGTAGCAAAAGCGGAGCTGGAAGTTTCCTCGCGTCCCTAATGCGAGAGTAGCGCTGAGAGCTGAATGTTGCTCATTAACTCGCGAAAAAGACAAGGGGCGTGGTTGGCCTGTGTTAGGTAGGGGACTGCTTGGGACTGCAGTGGAATAAAACTGGCCAGTAGCATTGAGAAAATAACTAATATGGCTCTAATAGATTTCCTTTAAATATCTATTGAAACACGGAGTACTTAATAGGTTTCAGGTGTTCTGCTAAAGTGCTAGGTTAACACGTGGTCTCTGCTGTTGACAAACTTAAAAATTTGTGGATGGTACAGACAGCAGAAAGGTGATACACGCTATGCTAGGAGCCATTACAGGGTGTGATGGGAGCACACAAGACTTGCTAAGGAGAAGGCTGGTGACCCGAAGGCTGCGGCTTCGTAGCTGTGCGCGGCGGTTGGGGTTTGGCTAGAAATTGAGTCCCCTACTTTTGCTAACTCCAGGACGCCCCTCCTCCCCCACCCTTCGAGAACCCCCGCCTCCACGGCTTTGGAGACACCTCTCTCTGTCTGCCTTCCCTGGGCTGGGGGTGGGGACGGGGGAGTGTCCTAAGGGCCAATTCAGTGTGATGTCCCTTTTCACCACTATTGAAAATGAAACCAGTAGTAAACTACCGCTTGTTTTCATCTGTAGGTGGGAGATAATGAGAACACATGGACAGAAAGGGACGGGAACAACAGACATTGGGGCCTACTTGAGGGAGAAGGGTGAGAGGAGGGAGAGGTTCAGAAAAAAAAAAAAAAAAAAAAATTGGGTACTATGCTTAGTACCTGGATGATGAAATAGTCTGTACACCAAACCCCGGAGTCAGGAGTTTATATAACAAACCTGCACATGTACCCTTGAACATGAAAGTTAAAATACTGAGAGAAGGGAAAAAAGGAAGAGGGAAAGTTGGGGAAAGCTTCCTAGAGGAGAGAGCCTGAGATGAGACTCTAAGAAAAAGGTATGAAGGAGAAAGCACTTCTTGACTGAAATTGTTTAGAAGACACTGGTTAATGACAATGCGTCCAGGGATCCAAAAAGAAGAAAAGACACTGGTTAGCCATCTGCCAAGGGTGGTGATGATAGAAGGAATCCTGGCACTGAATGTAGCATTCGAATTTGATGGATTTTAAGGGCATAATAATTCTGGATTGGGAATAAAGGAAGACACAGGATTCCACAAATGTTGGCATTATGCTCATCTGTATTAATTGTAATAATTAAGGCAACTTCCTGGTTTGTATTTTGTCTCCTCAATTGGAGAACATAAAATGAAAACTTGCTTTTTTTGTATCTCTTCACCTAGCCTAGTTCAGGGCTTTGGGTCTTCTAGAAACTTGATGTGCACTGATAAACATGTAACCATCTTTATGCTAAGAGGACCCCAGACCCTCCTTTGATATAATTAACTTTCCTCAGCTGTTTTCCTCTACATCTGAACTAAACTAACTTAAAACTGTATGTGCTCATAAGAGATTTGCAGAGGTGGGAAGGAACCACCATTTCATCCCCTGGAAGATGAAACTCTTAACTTGGCAATGGCATTTTGGTTTAAGTGGGATTTTTTGATCTATGTATTGAAGCCAAATTTCGTGCCAGGAATGTATTAGAATGTGAGCTATTTCAGATATTTGGATTTGAATTTTCTGTTTTAGGGGAATTGGGGGTAACATCTACTACTAGCACAGAGGGAGAACTTAGTACATTTTCATTGAGCATGACGCAGTCTATCTCGATTACCATCAGGGTAATGTTTGATTCACATCAGGGTAATAATTTCTTTGCCATGAAGGGAGACTTATCCTTGGTTAGGAAGAGAAGATTCAGGATAGAAGTTTTTTTTTTTGTTTGTTTGTTTTTTTTTTGGAGACAGAGTCTTACTCTGTCACTCAGGCTAGAGTGCAGTGGAGCGATCTCGGCTCACTGCAACTTCTACCTCCCAAGTTCAAGCGATTCTCATGCCTTAGCCTTCCGAGAAGCTGGGATTACAGGTACCCGTTACCACACCCAGCTAACATGTTGACCAGGCTGGTCTCAACTCCTGACCTTGTGATCCACCTGCATCAGCCTTCCAAAGTGCTGGGATTACAGGTGTGAGCCACCGCGCCCAGCCAAGATTCAGGATAAATTTATTTTTTTTTTTTCTTTCTTTTTCTTACTGCTCATCATTCTCAAATTTTCTTTTTAAGATACATGTCTAGAGAGAATAGATGTAGCTGTTATAAAAAAAAAAAAAAAAGAGAGAGAGAGAGACAAGGTCGCGCTTTGTTGCCCAGACTGAAATGCAGTGGCTATTAACAGGCACAACTATTGTGCATTGTAGCCCTTTCTTTTTGATTTCCTTTTTTTTTTTTTTTTTTTTTAAATTGAAATGGAGTCTCACTCTGTTGCCCAGATCTCGGTTCACTGCAACCTCCGCCTCCCAGATTCAAGGGATTCTCTCCTGCCTCCGCCTCCAGAGTAGCTGGGATTACAGGTACAGGCCACCATGCCCTGATAATTTTTGTATTTTTAATAGAGATGGGGTTTCACCTTGTTGATCAGGCTGGTCTTGAACTCCTGGCCTCAAATGATCCACCCACCTCAGCCTCCCAAAGTGCTGGGATTACAGGCGTTAGCCACCGCACCTGGCCTATTTCTTCAATATTTTAATCATAGATTTCAAACTTCATACTGTATCTTTTTCAAATTCCTGGGTTCAAATGACCCTCTTGCCTCAGCCTCCCTAGTAGCTGGGACTATAGGTTTGTGCCACCATGCCTGGCTTAGATTTTAAAGGACAAGACGTTTCATTTCATCCTTGTGATGCAGTACTCCATAAAAGGCCTTTGCTGTCCACAAAATAACTTCTTTCCTTCTAATTATTAACACTGTGTGCTCCGTGGGGCTCCCATTTTGTTGTAGATAATCAACTAGAAGACTATAAGGTCCATGAAGGCAGAGAAAATGTGCCTGGAACTTAGGTGCTCATTCACTGGAATTATTCACTAATTTGTATTTTTAATATACTCAGAATTTATATAGCATAGCCTGTATTTCTAGGTGCTGCTACCCCACAATAAAATTATATAAACTCTCTGACATCAGAAACCAGTTTTTCTTTCCTTTCTTGGCCGTGGAAACAGGCACTTGTCTAAGCGACTGTATCTGGTACTAACATAAATTCTCTACTTCCCCGTTTCTGTTACAGGCATGTCATGCTGCCCAAGGACATAGCCAAGCTGGTCCCTAAAACCCATTTGATGTCTGAATCTGAATGGAGGAATCTTGGCGTTCAACAGAGTCAGGGTTGGGTCCATTATATGATCCATGAACCAGGTCAGTGCACTGGCTAAAAGCAACCATATAAAACTTCTGCCGGGCGCAGTGACTCACGGGATCACCTGAGGCCGGGAGTTCAAGACCAGCTTGACCAACATGTAGAAACCCTGTGTCTGCTAAAAATACAAAATTAGCCTGGTGTGGTGGCACATGCCTGTAATCAGATTCTTGGGAGGCTGAGGCAGGAGAATCCCTTGAACCTGGGAGGTGGAGGTTGCTGTGATCTGAGATCGCGCCACTGCACTATAGCCTGGGCAACAAGAGTGAAACTCCATCCCCAAAAAAAACCTGCTACACTAAGGGAATGAAGGAATAAGATATTTTATAGCCCATATTGGGACTAGGAAACGGTTTACTGGTTCCTTCCCCCTCCAATCATAGGGGATTTTAAAAACAAAAGTGACCAAAAATAAGACTAAAATATCTGAAGTTCAGAGACAACCAGTCACCGGAAAACCTTCTGCAACCTTTCAGTCAGAGGGTACTCTTTTTGAGGCCACATGTACCCTGGTCATAGCCCTGCCTCATTCTCCATCAGAAAACATTCTTGGATATATTCCAAATAAGCAAAGGAAAGTATATTTATTGATAAGACACCAGACACTCAGCTGCCAGGCAAAACTAATAAAGGACACCCTGGAGCTGTATAAACATAGCAAAAGAACTGATATTAACAATTCTGTATTTGGCAGACAGTCCAGACTTCTGAGTCTGCTTCTAAGGCCATATGCTTAAGTCTTTATTTAGTTATAAAGATCTGAGTGGGTGATAGCTGGGTAGGTGGTAGTGGAATACACTATAGGTTTGTGCATCGAATGGTATGAGCTTGGCTCTTAGATTTCCCTCACTCTTTCAGAACCTCACATCTTACTGTTCCGGCGCCCACTACCCAAGAAGCCGAAGAAATGAAGCTGGCAAGCCACTTTCCAGCCTCAAGCTTTACACAGCTGTTCTTACTTCCTAACATCTTCCTGATGACATTCTTGTGTTGCCTTCTTGTTTCTCACTTTGATATTTAAAAGATGTTCCATACACTGTTTGAATGTGCTGGTAACTGCTTTGCTTCTTGAGTAGAGCCACCACCACCATAGCCCAGCCTGATGAGTGCTCTGTGGACCCACAGCCTCAGCTGAGTGTGACCCCAGGAGCCACAGTGTGCTGTGTATCCAGAACACACTTGGCAGATGGAGGAAGCATCTGAGATTAAGACCATGGCTGTTACAGGGATCATGTAAACTTGTTTTTGTTTTTTTCTGCCGGGTGTTGTATGTATGGTGACTTGTGGATTTATGTTTCAGCGTACTGGAAACTTTCCATTTTATTCAAGAAATCTGTTCATGTTATAAACCTTGATTAAAGAGGAAGTTTTTATAATCTAATGCTGTAAGGGTTTTTTTCCCCTCACTCAGGGTGAACATCATCAATATCATGGTTCTAATTATATGCCCTTCAGTTTGATAATGAAGCCCAGCTCTTTGCTGATAATGAGGTATTTTAACATTCAGGTAACTGATTTTTAAATCTACTTTAAGCAGACTTGACTTGCTGTCAAACATCTACTGAAATATATTTCACTCTAACTACTAGCTTGAGGTAGAGGTTATATAGGGACAACCTCATCTCATCCAAACAAATGAACTGCTCCCTACAGTCTGGGTGCTGCCTTTAACATAGTCCCACTATTTGAATGGCACACACAGGTAAAAGGAGGCTATCAAGGCCGGGCGCGGTGGCTCAAGCCTGTAATCCCAGCACTTTGGGAGGCCGAGGCGGGT